TTATCTGGATACCTTAAATATCTTTAAATCCACAGGACTTTTTGGATACTTTGGGAGCCCCTTTTTTTCCGTGGCCCAAGGATGATGAGCTTCAAGAGACTGATGTCTATGGGGATTTCTACCACGAGGCCGACCTGGTGATCCCATTTGGATGGAAAAAAAATCGAAAAATGATGAGAAAATATGGCAAGTTGATGCTTAAGTTGATCTTGTACCAGCAGTTTTAACCCATGTTATACCCTCTGGTAAACTAACATAGCTATTGAAAATGGCCATAGAAATAGTGGATTTTCCCATGAAAAATTGTGATTTTCCATAGCTATGTTAGTCATTACCAGAGGGTATACCATTTATACCACTCTATGCCTGCTCACTGGGTCCGGATCACTGCAATACGATCCATACCCGTTTTTTGAGTCATACCCAAAGTTTGAGACCTTGCCCTTTTCTTGGCACAGATTCTGCGGATTCTGCTGTTTGAGTTGTCATGTTTTCGCAATTCTTTGTCCTACCATTTCAACTCCTATTTGCTCGCTTCTTCTTGCAAACATGCCCCAGAGTCAAAAGGTGATGCATTCAAAGTTACCATTGGTATATCAGTTTCCATAGCTATGTTAGTTTACCAGAGGGTATATCAGTTCCAAAAAAACCAACAAACACCAGAAGTCACGAGCGAATGCCACTAGCTTTGAACAGGCTATGGTGCATGTGGCCATGGCCCAATTGGGACCAAACGCACAGCGGGTGCTGTTGCTGGGAGGCCGCCACCGCAAGGGTTTAAGGTGCATCTTTGTGGCCGAACTTGAGATACTTGAGGATTTGTGGAGCTCAGTGATAAGTCTAGTTCTCGTCATGGTTCAGATACTTTTGAACAATTTGGCAATTTGGCACGTTTCTGAACATGTTTTAATGTTTGTCTATTTTTCTCGCCCTACTTCACAAGCTTTCGGCTTTGGGACCCAAGCCACATGATTTGTCTTGAAGCTGTGGACAATTCTTGCCAGGGAACATCGCACGTTGCTGTTTCATCAGGGCGAAGTCCCGCACTTCATGATGAGTCGGTCTATCTTCAAAGTGGCAGAGGAGTACAAAGATAGATTTTTACCAGCTCGGCCGAACATATTCAGGATCTCAAATGTAGGGTCTGCTTTCATCAGTAAGCGAGGATGTCATATTTTTCTACTGCTCCCCTTTTTATCAATTGACCTACTTGGATCTACTTGGTGGCTCAGCCTAGTGAGTGGCTTAGAAGTTCTGTTAGAAGTCATTACATCTTGTTATAACCCCAGTATCAGTAAATACGGATGGTTGCGAAATCCTGCACCAGTTGACAAGTGGTTTATCCTATCTGCTTGGTGGTTTGGTTAATTTGTCCATATGCTGGGAATAATTAATCATCCCAACTGACGAACTTATATTTTTCAGAGGGGCTGAAACCACCAACCAGCTATAATATATATATATATATATATCTCATGGTTTCTATTCAATGTTCCATCTTCTTCTCTCAGCACTCTAATGGGTTCCATTTGCACACCAGATCGACCCGTTTGTCCCTCCAAGAATCGAGGCTCTTTATCGATCACTTCAACTTCAAATTCTTCCATGTCTTCTTTTTATTTCTTTTAAACAGTTTATCATGGTTTATCCATGTTTCATGTTTATCCCATTATTTATATCATAGAATTGGATGATGGGAAAATTTACAGGAAAGCCCTATATTTGATGGTAAAAACCATGGTTTCCTGTAGATTTTCCCTTAAACCAATCCAATGATTATAGGGTTCCAACCATCCAAGGTGCAGGATTTCGCAACCATCCACAACAAAAAAAAACAACGGCGAACGCCACGTTTCGGCAGAGGTGGCGATGGCGGTGCCGCCAGCCTGGCGTTGAAGTACCCGGAGGTTGAAGTGCTGCAGGTTGGGCTGGGGGTGGGGGTGGAATGGATACCATCTGGTAAACATACAAAAAGCTATGGAAAATGGCCATTTATAGTGGGATTTACCCATTTATAGTGCATTTATAGTGGAAAATGACCATTTATAGTGGAAAATGACCATTTATAGTGAACATAGATATGGAACATGGCCATAGAAATAGTGGATTTACCCATTGAAACATGGTGATTCTCCATAGTTATAATCTGGTTGGTGGTTTGGAACATGAATTTTATGATTTTCCATATGTTGGGAATAGTAACCCCGACTGACGAACTCCATCATTTTTCAGAGGGGTAGGGCTCAAACCACCAACCAGTACTTTGAATAGCATAGCAGAGCGGATGGCCATGTCTGATATAGGTTTCAATAGCTATGCCAAGAAATAAAAAATGATGGACCCTGAAGTAGATGTTTATAGAACTATCAGTTATGCCATGGCAAATCATGGCAATATTATTCAAGGTGGTTAAGTGTGTACATGGAAATTGGAGACCTGGAGGTGCTGTTTGGGTCGTATGATTCATTGCGGTGGACATCATCGACTTTGATGGCCAAAGAAAAACTTCAGAAGCGTCAGGTGGAAATCGATGAGATGGTCATTGAAACGTCTCAGCGCTTTTTCCAGAACTTTTCCTCTGCTTTTGGGTAGCTTGGACTGCCGACGGGCCTGGTGAGCTGCAAAGTTGAAGGATGTGAAGGATGTGAAGGTAAACGTAGTTGAAACGAGGAAGCTTGACCATAAACTCTACCTGTGCCAGACATCACTAGACCACACCTCAGCAGCCACAAGATCTTGTTGCTGGAAAGCTCTCTATGGCGGGTTCCGTCCCAGTTCAAACCAGCTCAGGAACTAGTCCCTTTTGTGACTTGACAGCTTTTAAATCGGTGAACATGGTACAATGTAACAGTGGTCTTAACTCAGAGAACCATCGAGAAGCACTGGGACTTCAGGCACCCTCGTCACAAGCTGATAGTGGCTGATGCAGTACGTTGGGTGGAGCAAAATTGGCGAGAAATGCCACTGGTCCTCAGTCGGGGATTGAAGGGGTAGGTGGGGGACGGCTCAGAGATGAGATAGCAGGATACATAATAATTAGTTGATGATAGTTATATATATATATAGTTATATTATGTGTCTCTGCAACGCTAGACAATTGCCTTGAAGGGACAATCCTGATCTTGTCCTGACCTTCTAGTCTTGGTGGTGACATCTAATTATATGTTCCAATATCTTCCAGGTTGGGCCATCAAATATCCGGCTTTTGCCTTGCAAGTAAAGAAACAAATTATGTGTAGTACGATGATAAGGTAAAGTCGGTAATACGTGGGTTTGAAACAGCTGGGGATGTGCGATTCAGTGGTCACCGGGTGAAGCGAATCGAAGCGAGAGGCAACAGACCTTTGACCTTTGCATTATCGACTCCACTGATGAGCCCTTGGCATCCTGGCACTTCTTGGCACATCTTGGTCTGGAAATCTAGGGTGATGGTGAGAGGTTGGCGCTCAGGTCGTATCTCTATTAGGGTTATTGTTGACAGCACGAAATATGTGCCGTCACGGTTGTTGATGTCATCTAGATTTCGAATGGATGAGGTATTGTGTTCAAGCTAAGTATGAGATGAACACTGCAAACTACAGGATTGAGAGCTTGCTTTGATTGTCTTTACAGCAGCAGATGCCACGATTCTATACGATTGCTAATTTTTCCAAGACCTCGCACTACTTGATTTGTGGCCCTTTCCTGTGGAACGGGCGTTTTTGTCGGCCACTGTCCTTCAAAACCTCAAGGCCAGCGTATGGAGCGGCAAGTTTTACAAGCACTTAAAATCAATGCTTAAAGCCCATGGCGCCGTGGTACAGCAACTTGGTGGCAGTCACAGTGCAATGTGCCCAAGGTTTCACATGTCACAGTTTTAGCTAAAAACTCTTTAATTACAGAAGTTAAGCGCGGTTAATGGTTTAACTATGGTTTATATAACTATGGTTTAGTGGTGTTTAGCCAACATCAACTTAAATGTTAAACAAATTCTTCAAGCACTGCTTGCCAATCAACATCACTGAGTTCCCTTAGGAATGTTGGCAACCAGTTGGACACTCTGGCGGAGTTCCGTGCCTGGCACCTGCCGCTGTTCCGGCAGCGTCGTTTGATCAACTGCCTGACCGCGGGGGCCCGGGACGGCAGAGAAACCTTGTTGGATCGGTATTTTAAGAGCTATACATTGGGGGTTTGAAATAGGCATAATGGGGAATATGATACCATATGATAATCATAATCATAATTATGGGATTACCATGGGATATCATAATTATCATAATCATAATGGGGAATATCACCCGAACAATATGATAATCCAAGTTTTTTTTAGCCAACAATATGATTTGTCTGGAAAATACCCGAAGAAATTGCTACAGTATCGAATACGGGAAATCATGGTAAACCAGAGGATGGAATGGGATAGGGGTGCCCTACTTTCAGACAAACCGAAATGGATTGACTCGCGCTTTCTTGGGTGGCCACTCTTGATTCATTGAAACAAAACTGGTGTTTCAGATTATATGATATTTTATGTATTATTATGTATTATGTAATATTCTCTATTATTCTAATTCAAACCACTATAGCTTTTAAGAGTTGTTTTTGCTCTTCCCAACTATAGCAGGAATCCAACACTGACAGGACGCCGGACTATGAGTCCCCATACTTCCTGGCGTTTCTGGCAGATGTGGAGATCAATCCGGTGACCAGACGCAACGATAAAAAAATCACCAGGCGTATCACGGTCACGTAAGGGTTGCCCTTTTGGACATGTGCATTGGTTTTTCCCCACCTGCCAGGTGAGGGTTGTTAGATTTTATGTCAGTTGCCTCCTCCTCCTCCTCCTTCTCCTCCTCCTCCTCCTCCGCCTCCTCCTGCCTCGTCCTCCTCTCCTCCTCCTCCTCGTCCTCCTCGTCGTCCTCGTCGTCCTCGTCGTCCTTGCTCAACTGCGACCGCGATCCACAGTGTTCTCTGCCGGACCTCAACCACGACCATCCACGCCCAGTGTTCCTTGCCGGACCTCAACCACGACCATCCACGCCCAATATTCCCTGCCGGACCTCAACCACGACCATCCTCGCCCAGTGTTCCCTGCCGGACCTCAACCGCGACCATCCGCGCCCAGTGTTCCCTGCCGGACCTCAACCGCGACCATCCGCGCCAAGTGTTCCCTGCCGGACCTCATGTAGGAAGATATGGGACAAAGAATGTGCAGAAGAAAGTTAGAAAGAATGTCAGAAAGAATGTCAGAAGATATGCCCAGAAGAATATGTCAGATAGAATGTCAGATAGAATGCCAGAAGATATGCCAGATAAAATGCCATGAGATTTGCCAGATAGAATGCCAGAAGATATGCCAGATAGAATGCCAGAAGATATGCCAGATAGAATGCCAGAAGATATGCCCAGAAGATATGCCAGATAAAATGCCAGAAGATATGCCAGATAGAATGCCAGAAGGTATGCCAGATAGAATGTCAGATAGAATGCCAGTAGGTATGCCAGATAAAGCGCCAGAATGTTTGCCAGATAGAATGCCAGAAGATTTGCCAGATAGAATGCCAGATCATATGTCAGAAGATATGCCAGATAGAATGTCAAATAGAATGTCAGAAGATATGTCAGATAGAATGCCAGAAGATTTGCCAGTAAGAAAATGTATAAATGTCATGGTGGGGATCACACGAAGTAAAGTAATTCTATGATTTTTCTCCATCCATTTCCCCTGAAGAACATGTCCCAGATTGAAGTTGGAGCATGACACTGTGCAACTGTCGGAGCGAGTTTGGTGATCACCATGTGTATCCGAGGTGAACTGGACATGGTGGACTTCCTTGAACATCTCCACCATCTACTACCACCCCGGTCTACATGACGCGTTGCTGGCCATTCCGAAGGAAACCATCGATTCTTACGTGGATGGCAAAGACCCTTGATATCCCTTAATGTTTGCTGGTGGGAAATATGGCCAGGGTTCACCGTAGATTGATGGGTATGAATCAGAAAGCTCCAAGGAGTGGGTGCCCCATGATGCCGTGTATTCCAAGCAGCACTTTGGCGCAGCTGTGAGCCAGTCAAGATCACCAAGATCAGGCTTTCATATTGGCTGTGCGTGTTTTCATCGTGCATTGGCTGTGCATCAGTTGGGTAAGTCCCAGCAAGTCCCAGCTACAGCACCTGCGCCCTGTGAAGGTGAACTTTGATTTCTTGGACAAGCAGTATGGATATCGTCATCCCGCCCGAGTCGGTATCTCGAATCTCCCGCGGCAGCGCGGATGACCCGCAGATTGTGGACATGGCACACTTCCTGCAGATTGTGGACACGACGAACGCGCTACAGGGATGAGACATTGGAATTGCTTGGATGAGAAAAAGGTCAGGTCACAGTGCTGCATCTCCTGGGTGAGGATGGATGATATGAAAGTGTTCTGACCAAACATGCCGAGGGGGACTCCTGTGGAACATCATGGTGAGTCAGAGTGGAACATCATGGTGAGTCACAGTGCTACTGCTGTCCATAATTTTGATGTTTGAGGACTTGAGGCTTCATTGATTCAGTGAAGGTCCTCCAGTTTTGGGCAAACGCATTTGCAATGCATTTGCAATGGGATATCCTGCTCCATTTTCGCCGCCAGTCAATTGATCATCAGGGATCGTCGAATGGCTTACACTGGCAACATATCTCGCACCGCTCATTTATCAGCAAGAGAAAACACCCCCAATCAGAAACCATTTGGAGTTCAGAATAATTCACAATACATCAGGGCTAAAACATAAAATGCTCTATGGAAATATCTTTCACCAGGACCTGTGGGGAAGCAGTTGAAGGTTGGATAGACCATATAGCTCCCATACCTGCGCGCATGGCTAGTTTCAACCGCCTGGTGACGTTGGACATCATTTGACTTAGGTGGCCTACAAGCAAGCTCCACTTCGGTCCAAGTGGTGCGCGGGGGACATGGGGAATACAAACTGTCAGGATTGATGGGCAAAAACATGTCTGTTTCGACATCTACAAATCCAGCTACATCAGCTGATGGACTTGGCATGAGTTGGCCAAAATCAAATGAACATAATGAAACAAGCATCTCGATGATGTCAATTTCAGATGGAGCATGTTATTTATGTTTGAGTTTCCCATTCAAAGCTCCATTTATGGACTAGTTATCGGTGATTTCCAATCAACGCAGCCTGCTTGCAGGCAGATGCTCCATACAAGGAGTCTTGAGCCTAGTTGGGGCCTGGTTTGTTGATCAATGTGTGTATGTTATATGTGTTTATAATTGTTTATATGTGTATATGTGTATGTGTTGACACAAGCCTAATAGCTGTAACAGCGAGCACGATCTAGAGCACGATTTTTGGCACGAAGGAGAGCACCAAAAAGCACGATCTAGAGCACGATTTTTGCCACGAGGGAAAGCACCAAAAAGCACGATTTGTGGCACGAAGGAGAGCACCAAAAAGCACGATTTTTGGCACGAGGGAGAGCACCAAAAAGCACGATCTAGAGCACGATTTTTGGCACGAGGGAAAGCACCGAAAAGCACGATTTTGTGCACGAAGGAAAACACTCAAAACAACGTTCGCCCAAAATATAAAGAAATCATTTTGTTGACTGTTACAGCTATGAGGACGGACTCAATGTATGTGCGTGTACACCGTGTGGATATGAAAGATGCTAACATTGTTCATTGTAGATAGGTGACACGACAAATCTAGATCAATACACACCAAGTGATCCTGGGAACGCAGGCAATCCAATGAGGCAAACTACCAGGCTGAGAAGCTGGGGGCCCAGAGCAGCACGGGCATGCAGCTGTGGCTATTTTGAGTGTTTCTAATGGGGAAACTATGATAAAATAATACAAAATATGGCATTGCCAATGGAGAGAACGAATGAAGATGATGATTGATCGTTTTTTGTACCCTATTTTCAGACAAACCCTATTCAGTGGGAGAGGTTGGAAACAATGGGATTATCGTGCTAGCTGGCTGCTAGACTGTCACTATGCTAGACTGCTAGACTGACTGCGCTGTCCTTTTGCAATAATGTCAATAGGTCGGATTGAACTGTGGGAACATCATGTTCCCTGTGCATTCCAGCAACGTCAGCATTGGGATAGATGGAGATGGTTGGACTGGTACAATCTGACGAGTCAAATAGAGAGATATAGAGAGCTCCGGTTCGTTGACAAACTCAAATCTGGTCCTTCTAAGGGCACTGCATGAAGGAGTGTTTTATTCTTTTGTATGTCAGCATCCAACTTGGGCACACCAGCACGCCTTGGTCTCCCCTTCCAAAATGGACCAGACATTTGGCTGCCGCATCATCTTGTGAGTGAAATTTGCATCCTGCCTAGTTCTTTTGCTCCCGGCCCGCCTGCGAGAGAGTCCGCATTTGAAATGATCGCCATCATTTGCTAATCATTTGTTACTTTCATTTTTTGGGCACGTTCAGGCTGCTTCCAGTGTGGCCCTTTTTTTGTGTAAACTAAACCACCGGAACGCGCAACCATCGTGCGTTGGTGACATTTGCTAAACATGGCGGATTCTTGGTTGCAATGCTGGATTTTCATGACATGCTTTCCACTTCCTGGGGGCAAGTACTGTTTAGCAGCATGTTTAGGTGATATGCATTGAAATACGAAAACACATGCGTACTGGTACATTAAAAAAAAACAACAGTTTGATCGATTTGCCATTACTTTCCCACAGGTTCCCGCAAACAAGCCATGCAAACTGTTTTCTTGACATAGTCTTGTGCAAATTAAAGATGAGTGAACTGCACCCCACCAGAATTGCCAGCGCATCTCTCTACCTACAATTCCACATCATTAGTCACAGTAGTAGCTCATTTGGCATGGATTATGCCATTGCATACCTCCAGAGTTCAACACATTTGAGGTGTATTGCTACAGCTTGCTTTTGGTATGGCTTGCAATATACTGAAAGTGCCAATCCACTTGCAGTACTATCCAGAGTTGGGATGAATCATTCAGCAGACGAAGAATGATGGATGAATGATGGATGATTATGATTCATGATTGATTATGAATGATGAATCATGACTGTGCAACTTATTACCAGCACGAACATTTCCCATGTTTTTCCAAGCTCATTGATGTGTCCTTTACCAAAGGACTATGACAAGATCCCAGTGGCCGTGGTGGGCACTTCCCGGGAGGCGATGTTGATCAGGGAGATCGAGGACCATTTTTTCTGTCGCTGCCGGGAGATCTGAAAAAATGGCATAGCCTCTGGTAAACATACATTAAAAAGCTATCGAAAATGGCCATAGAAATAGTGAGTTTTCCCATTAAACATGGTGATTTTCCATAGTTGTTTGTATGTTTACCAGAGGGTAGCCCCAATTCGAATGGATTGATTATCATCATAGCCCCCATGAACTGGCAAGATGATTTTGGGTATACCCCAGCCATCTCCAGCCCACGGTAAATATCGGTCAATGCTATATAGCCACAAGGGGGAAAGGTAAAACCACTTTACGACTATATTTAGCCAAGTTACCCACCTGTACCGGGGGGTGTTGGGAGCAACCCTGGTTGGGGATGAACGGGTTCAGCAGCCATTCAGCAGCCATTCAGATACATATGGGATGCTTTATGCAACAAAAATGGAGGTTTAATCAGCATCAAAAGTGCGAGAACTGGAGATGTGTTTCAACAAATATGATGAAGTGATGGTGTGCGAATACAAGAAGCAAACGCGGGTGAAAGACAGGAATCGAATCAAGTCTCAACAAAATAGTTGGAAATGAACCCGACAAGAATGGGTGCGAAAGCCAAAAATCATAACCTGCAGTAACTTCGAAGCCTTTTTCTTGCAGAAATGGGTCACAACTGCGAGTTCTAGTCCAAAATCATCAATCATCTCTGGTTCCATCCGTTCCCAACGGGACACTTCTGCTGAACGGCCACCGACTCGTTGCCCTTGGCCCGGTGAGGATGGACATACTTCAGATGACTTCATGGAAGTCAATCACGGAAATGGGCCAAAGAACTTCCGATACAAGGCGCTGGGCGGGTCGATCGTTGAGTTGAGCTCATTTGGAAAAAGGATGAAAAGGGATGAAAAAGGTCTAGCATTGTTTAGCAATGCTGTTGTAATTGGTGAATGTTAAGTCTGTTTGTCCTGAAACCTCTTAACCTTGAGGGCATTCACAACAATTGTGTGACTGAGGAAGCATATGGTCATCCAAAATCCGACGGCTTCCCCAATCAAAGTTCAGAATTCGGGATGTTTGAGGAGCCCCCCCTATTAATTACAAGGAAACTTCGATATCACCAGCGCAATTCTAAATCACATATATATATATATAATGTATATATATATATATATGATCCAGGTTGACACCTATCGTTTCTTCAACATGTTCCGGCATGTTCCGCACCGTGTTCACTTAAAAACGGCGACGCCTGTCCTTGTTTGATTTGTTTGGCCTTCCGGAGGCAGCAGCCATGACCTGCGGCTTGCTCATGTTGGGTGCAGTGATCTTCTTTTTCTCCGATCCGTGCCGTTCTCCCATGAAACTCTTCTCAAGCTCCGATATTGAGTGCCTGGGCCAGAATGGGCCGGACCTCTCCAGCCAGCATTTGAGGCGCATTTTGATATACAAAAAAAGTACAGAAAACGTGCAAAGGATGAGACCGGCGATGTTCTACTTCAAATTGTTGTTTATAAGTCATGGTTTCACATCTCATTTCGGAAAACAATGCTTATCAGTTTCATAATGGTATCCCCCATGCCATTATGTTGTAACCAGTTCGCAGCATTCAATGGATTTGATGGAACATCCAGAATCCAGAAGAAACCATGGGTTTTGGATCTTTTGTGCCAGTTTAACCACAGGGATTTTTCTGAGTTTCCCTTCAATCAATAACTACCATCCCAATCTTTACAACGCCTGTCCTGAGGTTGGTGGAAGAGAAACAGCTTGAAGCGGCCTCACGTCACTTGAAGTCCATCACCTCCCGTGCGGATGCTGACAAGTGCCACGCCCGGAGAAGGGGGTGGAAGTGGGTGGAGCCGTTGTCCAGAAGAAGGCCTCCTTTCCAGGTTGATGACTATCATTTACCCAGAATGATTGCTGCACATGCAGCGAACGGCTTCATGACGTTGGTTTCAGCTGCGCCCATCATGGACTGTTCCAGTTGATGTCAATTGAGCCAACCCCTTCACTGTTAAGGGACGCTTGCCCGGCATGAAAGCGATTTCTGTTGAACTCTGAAACGTAGATTGCCTCCAGTACCTGCTCGTTTCACCCAGTTTGCCCAGCAAACTTGCAAAGTAATCAAGCTATTGTATCACATGTGGTTCCGCAATCCCACACTTTTGTTGGTCATCATTTGTTCCGGTATAAATTGAACTTTGGGGGTAAAATATGCCCCGATTGCTGGTCATGATGTGTTGTCTATATACCACTACATCCCCACTTACAAATTACGTCCGTCATATTATTGTATATGTAATATATAATTATATATAATTATAATATATATATATATCCGTTTTATTCTCCTAATTACTGGTTTGTAACATTTTGATCCATTTTGTTTCCCATGTCTGCACAAAGTCATCCTGTCAATGATTCCCTGCAAGGATGGTGGCACAAGCTATGGCCAAGGCGGGACATATTCCAAATTATGCAGTAGTTGGTTTATCCTTTAGAAAAAATGAGGGTTTACCTCACCATCCTGAAATCTGAAATGGAAATAGAATGTTAAGATTAGATAGCCCAAAAATTCGGGACAGCATTCATTTCTCATAGACAATCTGTGAATGATGGTGGAAACCTCTTAGTAGCATGTTGTAACTGGGCAGTGACCGTGCTGTTACCAGCATGAAAACTGAAGCTGGTGAAAGTCCAAGCCATATCCCACAAGGGATAGATGAAGATCCAAAAAATGCAGCTAGCCATATCTCACCGCTTTCCTGTACATCTTTCTCATGCTATGACCAAACACAATTTTGACAAGCATAGATGTCATATTAATATATATGAGTCATATGTGCGCATATATATATATATATATACATGAAAGAAAGAAGAATGTGGATCATTTGGGGGTTTCTCCATTAGTGTTCAACAACCCGCCATAGACATCTGGCCTAGCTGTCGGTTCCCAGATGTCCCCTGCAGGCAAAGCAAGAGCGAATTGAGAAGCTCAGTGGCAGTTGAATGGGACTTGGGACAAACTTAGGAAGAGGTGCAGCGTTTCTGCAGAGATAGGTCCAAAATCGTTCAAAGAACTTGCCGAACGGATCTGAACAGATACAGAGAAGCACTCAGAGATATTCGGATTCACATGAGACCACAAATACCCAGCTTCTTAAGGCACCACAAACTCCACAAGTTGGAAGGAATGCCACCAGCGATGCGTGGCTCGGAATCTCCGGGTATCTCCGGGTTGGGATGTTGGGATTGGCTCGGCACAACCAGCAAGACACTTCTGGAGTTGGCACGGGAGAGCTCGAGAAACTCAGGGTTTAGGGTTTAGGGTACCCCACACAACATGCCACAGTTGGCTGCAAGATCCTTTGTTGCAATGGTTTGCCTCAGGGAATGACACAAAAAAAACGTGAGACACCATTCAGCCAGGCTGATTGCCTCAGTAGGATCCATGCACAGCAACAGACAGCTGCCATGCTGATCCATGCTGTATGTCAGATGTGTGTTCCATTGAATACACAAATAGAGTATACAGTGATACAGTGGATAGTTTTCCACATATGTTTGCAGATCTCCAGCTTGCATCATGGCATGAAATGGCATGAAGCGTGTGATGAAGCTGGAAGGGCTGCTCCATATGCGGAAACAGCCGTTTTGAAAAATTGAAATCCGAAGGGCAAAAACATAAGGGCGCTTCATCTCCAAATGCGAAGCAACTTGTTCTATATAAGTGTGATATGATGTTGGGAAGTACCAATATTTGATGATATGATAGATGTCAAACTTTTTGTGGATAAAACTTCAGAAATTACAGTAGCGACTGTGTTAGTGTCTATGAAGGGGTGCAGCTTGAGGCAAGATGCTTGGGACGACTGGTCATCTTGGAGACTTCTTCCAAGCAGAGACGCTTGGAGAGATGATTCCCATGATATATATCGGATTTCTTAAATCTCATTAGATAAACCATTACCATCTGGTTATTTAACATAGCCATGGAAAATCAACATTTTTAATAGGTAAACCATCTATAAATGGGTCATTTTCCATGGCTATGTTAAATAACCAGAGGGTAGATACCATTAGGTTCCAACCAGCCACACTATCTCCAAAGAAGGGTTTGGATTGTGAATCGCCCGAAAAAACGCCCAGGAAGTTGGCAGGACAGGCCCGAAAGGCTGAAGTGGAGGACATCAAATGGACTGCCAAGCAGAAGCTTGGCCCACGCTTGGTCCCGGACTGGTGGAAAAAAACCTACGGGGAAAACCACGAAATGCTGGCGAAATGTCCCAGAAATGGAGCAATGTCCCGGAAGATCCTGAGGAAACCACCATTTCATTATACCACCCTCCACTAAGTATACTAAGTATTCCAATGGCTGGAAAAATCCAGAAGATCTCGCTAACAAATCGACGCTGCTATGAGTTGGGGATTGGTTGGGGGATGGTACCAGAAATATCCAGAAATGGTGTTACAACCCAGAGGAAAGCACCAATATTTATTTAAGGGCTGCCGCCCCTGCCGCCGACCCCGGAAGAAGTGGCAAGGAAGCAAAGCTGGCAGCTCGACCTTTTTGCTATGTACATCGTTGTGAAATATATTTGATAGGTTTGAATTTTCATGTGTAAATGGGTTTTTCATTTGAGCATGTTAATACTCTGATCTTATGGTTTTATGTGTTCATGGATCTAAGTAACTGTATAATAGTTATATATATACACAATATTTTTGGCCCTATTATTATACAGCTAATGTTGCGCCGCACAGGTGCATGGTTGCGCCGCACAGGTGCATGATATTTTATCGAAGTATATGAGGGCGTTGTTTTTTTTGATCCCCCACTTTGTTTGTTTGACCTCCCCCGTGTTTTTTTGACCCCTCATGAACGAAATCCGAAATGAAACTCTAAAGAAACTCTCAAGAAACCTACATGAATGTTTGAAAACCTTGACAAGATTTTCTGATAAGAAATTCACATAACACTCGAAATTAAACGCGAAAGGAAATCGGAAAGAATCCCTAAATGAAACTCTACATGAAACCCGACAGAAACGCAAAAGAAACTCGAAATAAAACCCTAATGAAAGTTTAAACACCGTAGGTGAAACCGAAAGAAACCCGAATGAATTGCTGCCAGAAACCCCTACATGAAACACAAAATGAACCCTAAAGAAATCATAAATTGACCTAAAGAAACCATAAATGAAAGCCTGCAATTCAATGCAATGAAATGCAATGCACTGCAATGCAATGCAATGCAAGGTAATGCAATGCAATGTACTGCAATGCAATGCAATGTAATGGAATGCAATGTAATGCAATGCAATGCAATGTAATGTAGTGCAATGCAATGTACTGCACTGCAATGCAATGTAATGCAATGCAATGAAATGCAATGCAATGTAATCCCATGCAATGTACTGCAATGTAATGCAATGTAAGGCAATGTAATGCAATGCAATGCAATGTAATGCAATGCAATGCAATGTAATGCAATGCAATGCACTGCAATGCAATGTAATGGAATGCAATGTAATGCAATTGACTGTAATGTAATGCAATGTAATGCCAAGCAATGTAATGCAATGCAATGTAATGCAATGTAATGCATTGCAATGAAAAGCAATGAAATGTAATGCAATGCAATGCAGCGAAATGTAATGCAATGCCATGTAATGCAATGTAATGCCATGCAATGTAATGCAATGCAATGCCCTGCATTGCAATGAAGAGCAACGAAAGGTAATGCAAAGCAATGCAATGAAGTGTAATGCAACGCAATGTAAGGCAATGTAATGCTATGCAATGCAATGTAATGCAATGTAAGGCATTGCAATGTAACGCAATGAAATGTATCGCACCTTGAGGCTCTCGACCTTTTTGCCATGTATATCGTTGTGAAATAAATTTGATAGGTTTGAATTTTCATGTGTAAATGGGTTTTTCATTTGAGCATGTTAATACTCTGATCTTATGGTTTTATGTGTTCATGGATCTAAGTAACTGTATAATAGTTATATATATATACACAATATTTTTGGCCCTATTATTATACAGCTAATGTTGCGCCGCACAGGTGCATGGTTGCGCCGCACAGGTGCATGATATTTTATCGAAGTATATGAGGGCGTTGTTTTTTTTGATCCCCCACTTTGTTTGTTTGACCTCCCCCGTGTTTTTTTGACCCCTCATGAACGAAATCCGAAATGAAACTCTAAAGAAACTCTCAAGAAACCTACATGAATGTTTGAAAACCTTGACAAGATTTTCTGATAAGAAATTCACATAACACTCGAAATTAAACGCGAAAGGAAATCGGAAAGAATCCCTAAATGAAACTCTACATGAAACCCGACAGAAACGCAAAAGAAACTCGAAATAAAACCCTAATGAAAGTTTAAACACCGTAGGTGAAACCGAAAGAAACCCGAATGAATTGCTGCCAGAAACCCCTACATGAAACACAAAATGAACCCTAAAGAAATCATAAATTGACCTAAAGAAACCATAAATGAAAGCCTGCAATTCAATGCAATGAAATGCAATGCACTGCAATGCAATGCAATGCAAGGTAATGCAATGCAATGTACTGCAATGCAATGCAATGTAATGGAATGCAATGTAATGCAATGCAATGCAATGTAATGTAATGTAGTGCAATGCAATGTACTTCACTGCAATGCAATGTAATGCAATGAAATGCAATGCAATGTAATCCCATGCAATGTACTGCAATGTAATGCAATGTAAGGCAATGTAATGCAATGCAATGCAATGTAATGCAATGCAATGCAATGTAATGCAATGCAATGCACTGCAATGCAATGTAATGGAATGCAATGTAATGCAATTGACTGTAATGTAATGCAATGTAATGCCAAGCAATGTAATGCAATGCAATGTAATGCAATGTAATGCATTGCAATGAAAAGCAATGAAATGTAATGCAATGCAATGCAGCGAAATGTAATGCAATGCCATGTAATGCAATGTAATGCCATGCAATGTAATGCAATGCAATGCCCTGCATTGCAATGAAGAGCAACGAAAGGTAATGCAAAGCAATGCAATGAAGTGTAATGCAACGCAATGTAAGGCAATGTAATGCTATGCAATGCAATGTAATGCAATGTAAGGCATTGCAATGTAACGCAATGAAATGTATCGCACCTTGAGGCTCTCGACCTTTTTGCCATGTATATCGTTGTGAAATATATTTGATAGGTTTGAATTTTCATGTGTAAATGGGTTTTTCATTTGAGTACATGTTAATATTCTGATCCTATGGTTTTATGGGTTCATTTTATGGGTTCATGGATCTAAGTAACTGTATAATAGTTAGATAAATATATATATGTATATATACACGATATTTTTGGCCCTATTATTATACAGCTAGTGTTGCGCCGCACAGGTGCATGGTTGCGCCGCACAGGTGCATGATATTTTATCGAAGTAT